ACACAAAGTAAGTAGCCCAAATTCCTATACAACAAATTACTCGCACTCAATCTGATCGATCTATCGATCTATTGTCAAAATTAAAACTTTTATGTTAAAAAAAAAGAAGCGCTTCTTTAATTTTTTGTTATTAGATGTTTTGCACATTTTTTATCCAAATTTTATTATTTTGCGACACACACACACTAAGCACTGATCGAAGGTATGCGTATATATATATAGTATTGTGTATATATATGACATTATTTTGATCAATCCCTGCAGGAAATTGTATACTGCGGTTCGAATGATTGAAAGACAGCAAACTGTCTAAGACAAGCAGGTCTTAAATAATGCAGTTTTTTTTTTATAGATTATTTATTTAAGACAAATAGCCCACACATTCTATAACCCTTTCAGAAGAAGGTAAATTTTGTTTTCTTAAATTTGGATCTGAATATACTTAATATAATTTCTTCATGTAGTTTTTATTGCCAGGGTTTTAATAAATTGAACAGAATTGAGGTTTTCGAATATTTCAGATGTACCAAAAGTAATGTCCACGTAGAGCCCAGCATTTCCTGCCGGGATACATACACACACACACACACACACACACACACACACACACACACACACACACACACACACACACACACACACACACACACACACACACACACACACACACAAAAAATACTTATGCCTTTTAGTTGCTTTTTAAAAACAGAAAAGAATCATTTAAAAATATTATTTGATACAATGGCTGTGTTTATTGTATATAGTTAAATTAATTACCCTTGCTTACTTGTATCTAAAACAAAAGTATTTTCTTTACTCTTTTCGGTACTGTTTCTTGTCTATAAAAAAAAATCTACTGCATATTTTGTTTCCACACACGCTCTATACATAGGCTAAACCGGGCACTGTAAGTAATGGTTCACCAGATCTTGGGTTCTTCCACTTCTACGTAGTATTCAGTTTGGCTTCTTGTTCCTTAACCGATTGTACTTAACCATCAAAGCAAGCTATTAATAGTTAGTCAAAATTGATTAATATGTTTTTGATTTATTTTTGCTACATCGTTTTTAATTTAACATTTTTTTTTGCGGGACGCAAATACTTCAACAAAATTTATCAGAAAAGTCCGCACATATTTGCTATAAAAAATATAGTTGCAAAAATTAAATGAAATTGTTTCCACTAATTAAATGCCCATTGTTAAATGTACATATACATATTTATTTTTCAACTAAAAAAAACCCAAAAATGAAATAGAAACGACGCGTACCGCTAATATTGGATGCAATGCAGGTAATTAGTGGTTATATTGTGCGGGTCCTGAGCTAAGAATCTCATCTCTAGTCAACAAATTGGCACTTTCAAACGGCAAATACTTTCAAAATTTGGGATTAATATTAACTATTTCATTTATATACTAAATAGATCAAGACTGCAACCCACAAAAATTGAACTCGCTTGCAATTTTTAGGCCTTGGTTCGAACAATTTTTAGAAATTCTAGTCAATTTTCCATTAGAATCTTCTATAGAAAATATTAAAAAAAAAAACCACTTGTAAAAGTAGTAAAATGTAAGAAGTTTTAGGCAAACGCTTTTTAAAAAATGTTATATGCGGGTAGCTCTTACGGGCGTTAAGTATCCGCCTAATTGCTTTACTGTAATGGGAATTTCAGGTTCGAACCGGCTGGGCTTAAAACTGGCTTGCAGCCTTGTCATAAAGCTAAACATTATTCTTTATAACTTGACAATTTTTTAATACACAATTGCCTGAACTAATGATTATTAATTTACAATTAAATACTCTAAACTAGCTGTAAGTAATATATTTCTGTACAGTTTGTTACCAGTTATTTTTTCTCTCTCTCTTTAGTGTTATGTGTTTCCGGCATGTTTTAAGCCCTCAACACCTCTTGTTCTATATGCTCCACCTTTTTTTTCCCACCTTCCTTTCTCTGTCACTGTTTGACTCTCCGCTAGCATCCTGTGTGCCACCAATTGTTTTATTGATTGTTATGCTAATTGTTTATGCATTTTGGCATTTGGCTAGTACAATTTTTTACATTTCCATGTAAAGAATTGGCTATATGCATTTTCTAACTGCTTAACACCAGAAGATTGTGTCTTAAATATCATTACTTACCTTTGTTTCTGCGCATCCTTACAGGGCACCGCCACAGATTTGGTGGTGCAAATAGTGCTTATCGCCGAGTCCATGCGTCTGCAGGCCATGATGGCCACCTATGGCATACAGACTCAAACGCCGCATGAGGTAAGTGAGAAACATATTAATATTCATATTACCAATCAATATATATTTATATAAATATTACTTACAGGTGGAGCCTGTGCAAATCTGGAGCTCCACGGAGCTGATCAAAGTCTATCAGCATCTGGGTGTCAATCACAAGGTGGGCCTATCAGGTCGTCCCTCGCGCCCAGTTGGTTCGCTCGGCACCAGCAAAGTCTATCGCATCTGCGGCATGACCGTACTCTGCTATCCGCTAATTTTTGAGGTGTCCGATTTTTATTTATATCGTGACATGGCGCTTTTGATCGACGATATCAAAACGGAGCTGCAATTTGTGGGCAAGTACTGGCGACTGTCCGGCAGGCCCACAGTCTGCCTGCTAATACGTGAGGAGCACATGCGTGATCCGCAGTTTAAGGAAATGCTTGATCTGCTTGCCATGCTCAAAAAGGGCTACTGCGATGGCATGAAAGTGCGCATTGGCCGACTCCAGAATCTTATCAGCAGCTCCTGCATCGAGCATTTGGATTTCATGAACCAAAGCGATCTAACAGACAACGAGAATGCATTCTCACAAATCAATCACGAATATATAGGTTATCAATCACTGACAGATGTGCCCAAGGCCCTTACCTATGTCGAGGAGAAGATTTCCGTGGCGGTAAGTTGAACCGTTGAATTATCTACTGCTTCCTAGACTAACCTTTGAATTTTTACAGCACTTTGACAGCAAGCCCACGCCTGATATTATCAACGCGCTGCGCAACACTGAATCCATCTATTGCCTGTGCCAACTGTGGGGCATTCTGCTCAATCGCGAGGGCTCCCACTTTGAGGTTAACGGCCTCAATGTGAGTACTGCGCTCACGCAGCTCTATCATCGCGCAGGCTCTTTGCGCTATTGGCGCGCCGTGCGCTACTGTTCCTCTTTGCTGCATCACATTGTGGACTCAATCAGTCCGTTTATAACCACTGTGCTTGTAAATGGCAAGGAGCTAACCGTGGGCATCATTGGCCAAAAGGAGACAGTCTTCGATAAGCCGATGACGCCCGCCGAGATTCAGAATGTTATGTACACCAGCGTGCAGCCATATAATGTGATTCAGGCGGTGCTGCAGCAGGAGGTGGTTTTATATTGCGGCCGTCTTATAGCCACAAATCCGTCCATGTTTCGTGGCATATTGAAAATACGCATAGGCTGGGTGCTTGAAGCCATGCGCATCTATTTGCAAATCTCTGGACAACAAAGCATTGACGTAGACAATTTGTCGCCCTTCCAGGTGCGCATTCTCCTGCAGAAGGTGCTCACTGTCAGTGAATGGGCCGTTGAGGAAAAGTAAGCGTATTTTCGTGAATTGTTTCAATTGTTAATATTAACCATTTTCCGTCAGACTTACAACACTGCAGCGACGCCAGCTGGAGGGCTGCCTGTGCCGCGTGCCGAAGCACTTCTATAACAAGATCTGGGAGATTCTGCAGCGCACGCCACAGGGCATATTGACGCAGGGTCATCATTTGCCAGCAACACCTACGCTGACCAGCATGAGTCGCGGCGAATTGACCTTCAATTTGCTGGTTGAGGAGACGCTCATCTGCATTGATCGTCCGGAGCGACGTCAGATTACCGTCGAGCTACTCTGCATTGTGGCCACCATTCTGAATCGGTAAACCAAATCCTGTTTAGTATAGGGACAGTGCTTTAATATTTCCTCTTAATTACAGCAATCCCGAGCTGCATTTCAAGCAGGCGCTGGATTTGGATGGCATCATTGCCGAAGCCTTTGCCATGTACTGTAAGGACAACAACATACAGCATCAGCCGAAATCGTCGGAGCACCAGGCTCTGCCAAACAAGCAGGAGGATCTTACCGCCTTCTATTCGCTGCCCTACTCGGAGACCACGGGCTATTTGGCGCGGGCGGCTGTTAACAAAGTGCTTCAGGGCGGCGTCTTCTCGACAGCCGAGGATGGTGTGCAGCTCGATGGGGATCACTTGCACGATGACAATTGCAAAGTGTCCTAAGACGAGGTCCTTTATTTCACTTTTGTACATAGCATAGTACAGCATATCCTTGTTGACCAAAAACTAAAACCGCAATCCAAAGTAGTTCGAATTTGTAGCCTATTCTATTTCATTTTAATGTGTGCCACCATCTTCTTGTCCTTTTAGTTTATAATTAAATGTTATCTCTATAAAAATAATTCTGTTTGGCGAGTAACGTCATAATTTAGCCGACGTCATTCTCGTCAAATTAAAGCGAATTAATATCGACAAAAGTAATAGGCGGAGATATGTCGGCAAAATTATGACGCTATGCCTTATTTGTTTTAATTGATGATTAACGCCGTGAGAGCCCGAAAGTTAATAAATAGTATGTTTTGGAAAATTTATCCGCAACATACGTGTACAAAAAAGGTACATTATTCAAAAATTCAATTATTTCGAAAAAATGTCGAAAAAGTACGACCTTCGAAAAACGACACACATTTACCGGAAATATTGAAAAAAAAAAACATTTCAAATGTCGATATTTCAGGTAAATGAAGGCCAAATTGTTACATCTCTAACCAAGGCTTAGTGAATAGGTCAGTAGCAGGGGCGGTTGGAAAGCCCGTGCAATTGTTGTGCTTGTAAAGCCCTGCATCAGGTCTTTACGCAATGCCCAGCCAAGGCGTATCGATTATATGCCAATGCCCCTGCTTACATCACCTTCAAGCTGCATGGTTATAAAAGCACCGCGTCGGTGGTTCGCTCTGTTTACTATAATTCCAACGCTTGTCGGTTCAGCATGCGAGCACCCGAGTGGATGAGCAGTGAGATGGCACGTTTAACATCCAAACTGGAGCGTTATAAGCCAATTAACAGTGGCTACAATCGCATACAGTCCATACGTCTATCCAAGAGCGTTACACAAATGCTCAACAATCCTCTGCCCAAAACCGCCACCAACAGCACAGTCAATACAATACGTGAGGAGGAGAGCTCCTTTACGACCCCACGACGGCGCGGCGTGCTCAGTCGCAGCGAATCCCAGTGGGAGGAGGTGTATCCAGCGGTCAAATTTAGTCGCCAGCAGAGCAACGAGAGCGCCAACAGCCTGGACAGCAGAGACATCAAATTCACGCACTATCGCAATTGCTCAACGCGCATAACCTGAATCCAGTCCACTATCCCATCCGAGGATCTCATGTTATTTACATATTTACATTTTTGTTAAAGAATATAAATTAAGGTATTGAAAAAAAAAATAAATTGTCGAAAGTCAACAAGTTTTATGACCAGAATTATATAGAATGACCAGATTTATGTGGAATACATATTCATAAATCTGGTAAGGATTGCGTCATATAACATATTTGTTTGGTTCGGTCGAAAAATTCAGTAACAATTTAGTACAATTCATTTTGATTCTCTATTTGCATTAATAGTAAGTATTTTTTCCTATGATTCTTGACAGCTAATTAAAATATTACAAGAATAATAAAAATAGGTACATTTATTAGCTATAGTTAGTTTTACTTTTACGCTTATTTTGTTCGTTGTTTGGTACAAAAATTAGTTTAGTGTTTGCTCAGTTTATTACATTTATTTATTCGTTTTAATATGCATGTATAAAATAGCATGTATAGTTGTAGTTGGGTGTGTGTATTTAATCTATAGCTAATTGGAGATTGCCTATTCGAGATACATATGTATATGTATTTAGTATAAAGGCATAATAGATAACTTTGATATTGATTTGAAGCCAAACACATTAAAGCGTTTTAGAAATGTTGCATTTTGATATGAAATTGCGGTCTAGCAGTAAAGCAAATGATATTTGCGTACGATATAAAAAACAATATGTGATATATATGATATGCCTAGAAATAAATTCAACGCTTTTATATATGCAACACACACAGATATAAATATATATATGATAATAGTAATCGTCCGTAACAAACTTTTCGACATATACAATACATAATATCAATTAACTTTTGTTTTGTTTTCTAAGGCAACATAAACACATATTAACGTAGAAAATATTTGATGTAATTTGAAGTTTGCGCACACGACACGTATTAAATTTACATATGAAATATGAGACATTGCATTAAATATATATATATATATATATATATATATATGTTTTATGATTTAACTTACACAAATAAGTTGAATGCTTCATGCATATTTTAATTATACGTTTTACAATAAAGTTATTTGTAAAATGCTAAAAATCCCTGAATATGAGTTCTTATTATTATTATTTATATTATTAATCTTTTATATGACTTAGGTATTAACTTAGGCAAATTCTCTATCAATTCGTTTAGCTAATCAATTTTAGTTTTAAGTTAACACACTGCAACACTTTTCACTTACTTAAAATTAGTTAGACTGTTGGTTTTAGTTACAATTCCTATATAGTATGCATAAAGGTATTGTATGCCCTATAGAACACGCACTAACTAGCTAATTAGTAGGTGTACAAATTCCTTTAACGTTTACACGGGTTTTTTAACACACGGCAGTACTTGACAAAGTTTAACTACATAAATATTGTAATTAATTGTAAGTGTATTTAGGTGATGTGTGTGTGTATGTGTGTGTGTATTTTGTATATTGTTTCTCTAACTAATTTCTGTATAAATTTAAAAAAGAACTATGAAACCTACGTTAACGAAACATACGTACTAAACATACGTAAACAAGATTCTAATTAACTCAAACATTTAGATTAGACCTATGTTATTGTTGTTGTTGCTGTTGATATTGATGTTGTTGTAGCTGCTCGGGTCGACGCACGCTCATGCGACTGGGTATGGAATCGGTGTCGCCATCATCATCCATATAATCCTCCTTGGGGCGCGTCCATTTGATCAACGTTTCGGGTGAGCGATACAGGAAGAGTAATTTGGCAAAAAGATCCTCCTCCAAAGCGAACTCCAGTGCCTCACGTACCTGGAAAAACAGACAGAAATATTTTCATATCTCATATTTTTATACTTTACTAGCACTCACCAGATATATGTCTAGGCACAGCTGCAGCACCCGATCCACGTAGGGCAAGTCCTCAAACATGATTTTACGATTTTGGCCACCAATAAACGATTTCATGAATCGCGAGGCCAATAACACGAATGTAGTATAAAGACCAATGATGCTGGGAAGGAAAAAAAAAATAAAAGAAAAGTAGATATCAGGCAGATATTTGATGGAGAAGTATGTTACTCACCCGCCCGCTGTAAGAAAACTGAAGGTCGATGGGAATTTCTTGTCATTAAAGGTGTACATGACGATGCCCGAGCTGCAATCGCTGTAGGGCAAGTCCTTAAGCGTGTTCGTGTAAAAGCTGTCAGAGCAAAAATCGCGTATCTCCCACCAGAGCCCATTGGTTGCGTTATCGCGATGCATTTTAATGACCAACGGTCGATACTCCTGCTCCTTGCCACTCAGTACAGTCACGACAAACGCATCCCCCGAGTTGAGCACCTTGATAAACTTAGGTATCATGTTGGGCAGCACCACGACCACCTCGCTTGCGTTTTTGGCTGGGATGGTGGCATTGGCATTGGTGGTGCCATTCGCATTGGTGGTGCCATTCGCATTGATGGTGTCGTTTGCACTGATGGTGCCATTGACATTGGTAGTCTCATTGGCATTGCTATTGACCTTGCCCTCCAGTTGCTCATATGTCTCGTCGAGCATATTGATAAGTGCAGTGCGTCCCGCGAACGTTTCATCCAGCTTGATGATGTGCTCATCGCCCACGTTTTCCTTGAGTCCCTTGGCGGGCGCCTTGCGAGTCAGCGAATAGGAAAAGCGCGCAATGAGCGTGTGATCTATAAGATATATTGATAAAGGATAATTCAATTTCGGCTTAAAACAGCCGTTAACAACTTACTGTTACGCAAATCGTTGGCCAAGCGCTGCCTATCCGGCGGAGCTATATTCCACAGTGAAGGCGAGTTGCCCGCCAGCTTGACAGCAGCCACATCGGTGGCATCGTAGCCAGCTATAAAGGTCAACGCCTGTTTGTTCTTAATGAACGCGTTCGTCATCTGGCCATACATCTTGGAGTCAATCTCAAATATGCTATCATAGTTATTGGTCGTATATATGGGATCGTAGGGACCGATGCGTATGGACACCGACACCTGATAGGGCACATTCGACGTGCCCACAGCATTGCCCAACGCAAACAAGCAGAGCGGTCCCCAAATACAGATGACAATCAATAAAACAACAGTGCCGCCCATTATTAGCTTGGAGAGGGAGGGCTTTTTCTGTGCGCGAATTGCAGGGAAATCCGTTTCCGATTGCCGGGTGCAACGTATCAGATATATATTCGAGAAGATGTCCTCCATTTTAAGCCAATCAAAGATGGTCATGGTGCTATCAATGCACACCCAGTCGAGTATGGTGCGCAACTCATAAAGGAAGGGTATCTGCATGTACACCTTGAACGCAATCATATTGACCATCGAGAAGCCCTTGGTAAAGAAGTTGCCCAGAATGCGCTTCGGATAGCCCGACTTGATCTGATAGGAGCTCAGCAGCATATAGAAGCACTTGATCACATAGAATATAATTGGCGGTGCGAGCGAATTGAATGTTCGCTCCGTCACAGCCGGTACCACAAAGAACATCCAGATGTGTATGCCAATAACCGAGAAGAAATGGAATATGATCTTGTTGACCAAAGCCTTGCGCAGATAAAGTGCTCGATCGATGACAATCAACAGGAACTGCACCAGCAACATGATCAGAAACGGCACCGGCACCTTATTCTCCGCCAAATAGGTTTGGACGCCGCCATCGCTCTCCGTTTGTTGAGTCTGTGTAGGGATTAAAGAGGTTTTAGAGTGGTTTCCGTTGAAAAATACTTAAGCAACTCACGCCAAATGCGGTAAAGCCGAAGAGCAGCACAAAGAAGTTCACAAAATCGCAGAGGAACATCAGCGCATAGACATCGGTGGCCAGGCGGGATTTGTGCACCAGACTGAAGAAGAACTTGTGCAGCGAGGACGTATACTTAGTGCGTCTAGAAGTGAGACAATGATCGAGATTTAAAGGTATTATATAAATAATAGGGGCGAATTTAAGGTAATTTAAATAGGAAAAATAACATCCTTGATTCGATCTTTTACCACCCATTTTCCACATTTTCAAATCTCAGGAACTTGAATATCAAATTGAATCTTTGCCGAAAACTTCGATTACCTAACATAGATAAAAGGCTAGATCTTTGCACTTACTCCAATTGATTGATAGCCGATTTGCTGTACTCGGGCGAGCCAGGCAGGGAGACCTGGCTAACCTGCAGGCTGAGCTTCTGTGCGGCATCCTCATTTAGCTGGCGGGAGTCCGGCTGTGACATATTATCGCTATCCTCGCGATCATCGCTGAAAGTGAATGGCAACTAGATAAGTAAGGGGCAAAGTGGGTTTTAATTGACACACTCACATGCTGGCCGTGGGCTTGGTAAACTGCTGATCTACATCCTTGTAGCCGGACTTCCACAGGCCCTGCGACTTGAGCAGATAGCGATGCAGGAACAGCACCAACAGCAATATCAAATCATAGACCGCATAGTGGGTTTTCATCTCGACGCCAAAGATTTTGGCCGGCGCGAGCGGCTGATTGGGCAAATTGTGATAGTTGGCCCAAATCAATTTGAACTGAAAGATGCACTTGATCAGGACAATGGCCTGCGTGTATGCAATCAATGTGACCCAAAACGTTTTCGTGGGACGCGGCAGCGATAGTGTGCCCCAAAGGAACACCATAATGGGCAGCGGTAACGAGATGAGACTGGCATTGACCACCTACAAGGAGCAGAGTAAATCTTAACGATTTTGCTTAACGATATTGATGGGCTGTGACTCACCTGATTGATGAACACCACAATATAACAAATGAGATCCGTATTGGCCAGTAGCGCATACCAGGAGGAAATTAGCACCTCGACAATGATGTGATGATCCCGCTGCGCAAAGTTCTCCTCCTCCAGATTGAATTCACCAGCGCTGCAAGTGGCCAACAAAGATTAGAAAAGGCAAAAATTCCAAAATCGGGAAGAGTTACAAATCTTTACAGGACTAGCTCTATAGACATGCCTCTGGTGCTGGTTTTTTATTTTTATTTTTTTGGCGAAACCTGTGCGCTGCATGCGACGCACTCTAGTTGCGTGGGGGGTGTGCGGGGTAACTTAAGAGTACAACTGATAAGTTTGGGGGGGTTAGGAAAGCCGCAAACAACAACAATACATACATACATACTAGCATAGAACGCACAGAGAGTGGCATGGACTTAAATTAAAGCAGATGCAATAAATTAGTTAAAGACAGCCACAGATATATATGTAGAGCATAAATAAGGATTAGTTAAGAGTTATATGAAGATCGGTAGAGAATTCCAAATGCTGTAAACATGATCTATAACTGATGATATATTAAAATAATAATCCTCGATATATATCAAGTAACATTGATTTGAAATTCTCCACCAAATGCGCTTATAGAGTATAGAGAGAGAGAGCTATGAATTATAGATAGGTAAATAGATGAGGAGAGTTACGGTGAGTATGTTGCCCGTGTGAAGAGTATTCGATAAGGCTGAGAAAAACGTTTATAATTAGCACAGTAACAACAGCAACAACATCAACAGCAACAGCTCTACGAGTACTTGCAACTGGTTCTTTGGTCGGGTATGTGTCTCTGTATGTTTCTGTGTGTGTGTGTGTGTGTGTAGATGGGCGTGGTCAATACCTGTCCACGTGCTCGTAGGACCAGTGCTTGCTGAGCGAACCCGAGCCGATGCTCGCCTGCTGCTGATGATGCGCTTGATGATGATGATGAGGCGTGTGAGACGGCGGCGGAGGCGGCTGCGTTAACTGCTGCTGCTGCTGCTGCCCGCTGCGCTCAATAGATGGCGCTTTAATGCGTATCTCAGGCAGGCCGCAGTCCGATTTGCGGCTATATAGAACACCAAAATGCAGGCATATATGGATTGCATGTGTGTTACATATGTGTGAGTGTGTGTTTGTATCAAAATGCACAGTCATAATAGAGATGAGATTCATATAGAGTAGCACGAGTAAGTAGAAACAATATCTTTGCTCAAGTATAGAGTATTAGAAGTGTTATAAGTAGAGCTTTAACAGATATATATGTATTTGTTTCAGACACAGTAGAATGCTGTGTAGGTATGTAGGTATCTGTGTGTGTGTGTGTGTGTGTGTGTGTGTGTGTGTGTTATTCTTGTAGACAGTTATGTTTTAGTATCGTTATCCTTAATATCGGATGTAATATATGTTTTGGAATTTACTTACCCTTTCGTTGGCGGCGATGAACTGATTGATTGTTTTCTATAAACACAAAATTTCAGATGAGCAAAATGCGCGCAGAACAAATGTAAAATGTAAGAAAAAAAGAAAAAAAATTAGTAAAGATTTTGGTTTTGTTTCGTTTCGTTGTGTTCTCGAATTACAATTGGTTAGTTTTCAAATTTGTAATAAGTTGCGATTTTTTTTTTTTTTAATATTTGCAGCTATAAATTAAATCGAAAAGTAAATAAATTTATTGATCAAATTAAAGCGATTTATGTGGGCTAAAATACTTATGTTATTTTTGGTGGAATGAATATTGGGTCAATCGATTTAGTTATGGAATTGATCTGATTAAGCATAATATATACTGAGAACAGTTCACAGAGAGGCATATTATAATTATTTATCCAAGCAAATTAATAGGTGTCCAGAGAATTTCTGACATCCATTTTGATGACTTTTGCAAAATAACCCAGGCTAAGCACTGCTTAACATAATACTGTAATGTTCATAACATTGTCAGTGATTTATGTATGAAGGTGCTTTTACTAAAAGTTGCTGAACATAACTGCCACATGTTAAGACTTATGTAACTGAGCGCTGTTTAATTACAGCTGCTTAACATGAGACACATATGTTAACAGCAGCCATTGATTATTTGGTTAAATTGTGAGTTCCTGAGATTCCGGGCAAAAGTAAGTGTTTGCTTTCCGTAAGATCCAAGTTACAGGGTATTTAGAAGCTGTTCTTAATATGCAGTTTTTAATGTTGGAGTGGGATGGTGATGGTTGTTAGGCATTTGAGCTGTTGATAGTTGGTATTTTACCTAGAGCTTGCTGCATCAACGGTATCTACAGGCATTTCGATGATATCGTCGACTGGTTGTGATTGCTGTGGCGTACTGGTTGCTGGTGGTTTATCGTGTGGATGTGGTGGTTGCTGTTGTTTTTGTTCTGGCGGTGTGAGCGGTGTGGTTGTTGTATTTGTGTTAAGTGGTGTGCTGAAGTGTTCATTGTCTGATATTGTTGTTGCTGTGGGCGGTGTTGTTGTTGTGGCCAGCTGTGAGCGACGCGGTGTAGATGATGAAACTGGCTGACCACCGTTTTCATCACTAATCAAGATAATGCACAAACGCAACGTGATGTAGGTGGGGTGAGTTTTGGTGTTTGATTGATTTGGTTTTGTTTTTTGTTTTGATATTGTGGAAGCAGGTACACAGTTTCAAACACACGTAACACAAAAGGTAACATATGCAAATAAACAAACAAATAAAAAGAATAGAAAATCATAAAACGAAATTAATTTTGTTGCTTTCAATAAAATTCATATCACAAACTCGGAACATAACGCAAAATAATATATATGTTTTTTCGAACCATTTGAACAAAATTCGAAATACGAGAGAAAACGTGCGCTACGCTAAAAACGCACTTTTCGATCATAAAGAAAATCAAATGAAAATTTAATAAAAACAAATAATATTTATAAATTGTTGGGATAGTTAAATGCAAGCGGCGCACACTCCCAGAATAGCTAACGCCCACTAAATACCTCTCGAGATTCGATTTCAGAAAATGGAACATGGCCGCGGCGCTGGAGAGGCCCAAACGATTCAGCGAGCTGGATTCCTGTCAGCAAAAATTCATACATTAGTTAAAGAAATTAAAAATAACAGACCAATCGTTGACCTACTTTGAGAGTTTTCTTCTCGCCCGCCAAAATCCGATTGACGAAGCGATAATTGCGCGAGAAGCGATTCAGGCGTATGGTTAAGGTAACCAGAAAGCCCTCCAGCAGGCGTATAATGGGATTCGTATCGAAATCCTCATCCGAATCCTTGGCCGTCACATCGCCGCTATCCGGTTCCATTTTCGATTTACTGTCCGAGGTCTCCTTGGAGGTGGCCTCGCGTGGCGCTGCCGTCGCCAATGCAGCCGTTGTTGGCAAATCGGCTACATCCTTGGCAGCTGGCTTGGGACTGCTTGTGGTGGCCGCTGCATCGCGTTCCTTGGAGATGCCCTTGCTCGTCGAGGGAAAGAAATCGGTGGGCGCATCCTTTGATTTCTGTGAAGCGGGAGAAGAAGCATATAAGAATATAAACAGAATCAATTATTGTAAGAATTAAGTAATATTTACGCATAATAAACAACATTGAGACGCAAGAAAACGAAATAAAGCTAATATATAAAAGATATTTATACACATAAAAGTTGTAAATGTTAATGTATTTGTACAGCTATATATGTGGACTGTATAGTGTGTGCGCCAACTTGCAGCTGTTGTTGTTGTTTGCAGCGCTTTAAAACTCGTGATCAAATATAGTTATAGCAAATGTTGCACGATAAAACACTTGTTGAACGGGTGCGCCAATTAAAGAATTTCTGTTTAATTTTTAACAACTTAATTTTTTTTTTGTTTTTTGTTTTTCTTGCTGCACACTCACAACTGCCTGAACTGGAGGCGGCGTTTGGGTCTCGAGCAGCGTCTGACTGCGTCGACCAAAGTCAACCGGCTCGGAGAGCGTCGAGGTGCGCACGCCCACGTCACACTCAATGGTATCATCGTCATCGTCAGCATCAGCACGCTTGTTGTCGGCCACGTCATCAGTCACGTGATCCACACCAGCAACCAGCTCATCTCGCTCATCCAGACTATAGGCGGCCATATCCTTGAGCGCGATGCGAGAGCCCGGCTCGGAGGCATAGGAACGCTCGCGCATATACAAATGACGACGATATTCCGCATCGTTTAGATCCTTCCAAACCTTTTATGTTTTGTTCATTTGTGTGTCGACAATGTCAGTGTTGGCGGTTGGCGTAATTTATAAGGGAATTTTACAACAGATTATGGGTATATGTATATCAAGGCTGAAAACTAGCTGCAAGCCCCATCGGTCCGATATTCCAAAATGTTTCTATCAACTAAACCTACCCCAAATTCTATGCGAAATGTGTTCTTGCTTAACTTCGCTGCATATGTTCCCATCCTTATAAATTTTTCAGGGCATAAATATGGCATACGAAAGTTTGTGTATACCAAAGTTCTAGCTTCCAATAAATATGCAATATTATTTATCCAAGTGTCTTTATAGAATATTAGATAAACCTACTTATTATGATATTATTTTTATTTACATATTGCACATTTGAAATTTGTAGGAATTCTCGATTAAAAATTATAAGTTTCTTCTGCATATCAACTCTCTTTTATTACTTAGTTTCCTATAAAGACGCATTCATACTGTCGGACAGAAGGCGGCAATTGGTAGATCGACCTGGGAAAGTTGCTTTCAGGAGGAAACCCACTTCCAACAAGCAATATATATATATATATATATATATTGTGTGAACGCTTTAAATTATTTACACTTTCATATGAAAAACCAGATTCATAAGATATATAAAACCTAAGACACCTATATAAAACCTATATAAAACCTATATAAAAACTAAGAGGCGAGACATTGGTTTGCAGCCATGTTATATAATATATAACATGCATACAGCATGCCATTCAGTTAAGTATATGGGAATAATACTCGATATTTGAGCTTGGCTGGAATAAAGAAAGTATGTTCAGAGTGATCACTTACATCGTATAGCGTCTTGCGTCGCTGCATTTTCATTTCGCTTTCCGTTATGTTTTCCTCCTCGAGAAAATCAATCTCATCGTGTATTAAATCCAGCTCGAACTTGTCATCCATTTCCTCAAACATATAATAGTCGCCGGCGCGCGTAGCTTTTGATATAATAAAATATTGTTATAAACTATGCATATAGGAAATATTAAAGCTAATGACAACATTAAGATATGGCTAAAATATGATAATAAATATGTTATTTTACAGGGTAGCAGGTAGAGCAACATTCATGCAGCGTATATAGATATATATATATATATGTAGATATATAATTTGATATATATTACGGCAAATAGATAATGTACAAGGCAAGACAATATCGGCATGATGTTGCTGGCGATCTTAAGCGATCTTTACATATGTTAAATATTTTAATTATGGTCTTTATGATGATTTAAATCAAGCACAACAAACAAAATGAAATAAAAACACAAACTTTACCATGTGGATGCAATTTAATTTCCTTCCTTCTGCGTACTGTTGGTGCAGGAAGTGGATAACCATGGTCTATAATAAAACGCACACACATACAGATGTCAAAATGAAAATAAATAATAAAACAAATAAGTATAGAAATTAAATTATAAATATAATAAATATATGTTATTAATCGGCAAGCCGAAAGCTTCAAAGATTTTTAGCTGCATTTTTTTTTAAATTATTATTTTATATATATTTCTTTAACTTTCAGTATATTATCAACCATTTTGTAAACTTTCTGTGTCATTGCATGGTTCAAGCAATATAATGAGAATCACATAGAAGAGCGTAACAAAATAAAATTTAAATTTTAGTAGGAATATTTTGTAAATCCAAAAGAAACTATATTTTTAACTTAAGAATGTCTCAATCAAGCTGATCAAATATAGGCTTTTACACATTTTTTATATGTTGCTGTAGCAAAATATAATCTTAAAAGAAATTTTTAGCAATAGCGCGAAGTAAACGGTTTCAAGTAGCAGTAAAACACACAGAGAAGAATATGGAATCTTGATCGCATTATAGGATATATAAATAATATTAAGATAGTTCTTATATTACACTTGTATAAGCGCGCATAGCCCAGAGAACGCTTTAGGCATTGATAAGACGAATCAATGCAGATTTGTATAATAAAAGTAAAACCTCTAGAAAAGTGATATTTACATATGTTTTCGGGTAATTGTAGTTGTTTTTTGTTGTTGTTGTTGCTTGAGGCCTGCTACACACGACCTCAATAGGTTTTATTGCACGCACATTAAACAAAATCTTTATACAAAGTTTCAGTTTGAAATAAATAAATAAGATAAATATAATAAATAAGAAGATTCATCCAATACATGGTCCATGCAGCAGTGCGGGCTCATAGAAGGCGCACATCAGCGACTCCATATAGTAGACCGTACCGACGGGTCCCCAGCTATGCGGCCGCTGTGCAGCCCTTAATGCAGCCTCATCCCTGGCGCCGGACAAATTGCTGGTGCGACGCTGACGCGCCTGTGCCTCGTCCATGGAGTAGCTGGCATTGCCCATGCTCAGATGGCGGCGATGCAGCGATTTCTGACGCATTGTGACCAGCTCCTCATGCTCCGCAGACTGCGAGATAAGAGCGAGGGTAATCCGTGGCACAGTTATTGCTGAAGCTGATCTGATCTTTACCAGATTTTGTTTAATGGGCGAACACTTAATGGACACCGTTTCGTTCCAAGAGACGGCAGCATTTGTGGACGACTGTCGGCGATGCTGACGCCGCAGATTGGGCGTCAGATTCACTGAGCTGGCCGTACTGGTAGCCAAGGCTGTGGCATATGAGGCCAGTGGCGGCACCAGCGTGTGCATGGTCGATTGCCCACTCTGCTCCGAGGGCGCCAGACCCAATGAAATCCGTTTGGGCTCCAGAAAACCTTCGGTGAGTAGCGCGGAGAGCGCATCCGTGCTTGGCGTGGTCGGCTTCGAGGAATTCAATTGGCATATTGAAATTGAAAACGTATTTCCGGTCTGGGCACTTACAGCTGTTGTGGTTACCGTAGCCGGACGTTTGGCAGCCAAAGCAGTTGGCGGCGCGTCGGGCTCGTCGCTGAATGATTGCACATCCGCATAGTTCAAATCCTCGTCATCGCATAGCATTATGTTAATCTCCGGCTCGATAATAACAGCTGCATCGGCGCTGTCGACGCTCTCAGCGCTGCTGCTGCTGCTCGACAGCATGGAGGCGCGCGCAGGCGATGATGTGCCCGAGCTGCTCTTGGAGCTGGGGCCATCGGGCGTTTGATAGCCGGAGCCTTGGCAGGAAACAAAGCTGCTTTGATGCGCCAGCGGTGCTGCCTCGCCCAGGCTTTGCTCCAAGGGCGTGCGTTGCCCTGAATATTTTTTTATGTATATATTTTTTTTTAAAGCCCCAAGTCAAGGATTAGTTGGAAGCACAAACACACACGCGCGCGCGGTTACACAAAAGCGAGACGACAATTTCCACGATACAAAATACAAAATTGGGAAATTGCAACGCGGCGAAATTAAAAGCCGCCCATAAAAAATACAAATCCAACAAATCCAAGGCCGACTTACCATCAAAGTGGGTCTGTTTATCCAGTGGACGCAGCATCTTCTGTTGTGTGGCACGTATGCGTTCCATTTTGCGCTTAATCTTGTGCAGCACCTGCTTCTCATGGTCATGACGATGGGCAATTTGCTTCTGCCGCAGGCTCTCAATAATGTCCGCGCCTCTGCAAGACGAAAAAAGATAAAAAACAAATCAATTAATCAGGATCAGGCCGATGGGCATTCGAAACACCTACCTGGAGGCGAGTATATTGTTTGCCTTGGTGTCCGTGATGATATGACAGAAATAATGCGACTTAAAGATGCGCAACTGAAATATGATAAACGCAAAACAAATCGCATCCCAGAGCAGCACAATTTGATGCGTGATCTTGGGGCAGCCATCGGGTCCAATCAGTAGATCCGTCTCATCGCCGGGCACCAGTTCCAGCTCCTTGACCACATTGCTGGTGCAGGTAATGCCCAACATATGCACCAGCCAGCAGCAGTTGTTGGTCAGCGGCGTCATAAATAAACAGCCCGCCATTTGGAAGCTTGTCTTGATCAGTATATTGGCCACATTGAAGGCCAGCAGCCATTTCCAGCGGCTGATGATTGTTTTGATGGGACGCAAATAAAAATCAGAGCCCTGCCAGAGGAACACAAAGGCGCCAATCAAATAGCCCAGCGCCAGCAGATCCGCTATATTAGTGCCGGCCAGAAAGACCACAGCCAAGGTGAACCAATAGAAGCCACACAAAACGCCATTCTTCAATATATCCGAATAGTTGCGTATATAGGAGCAGAAATCATGCGTGGGATTGTCAAATGGCACACGTCCCAACTGGGCAATGTCCGCAATTACACTGCGATTGCTGCCACCGGGATAATCATCATTGGTAGCATACCGCTGCTCAATGCAGAAGATGCTCTTCTGGCGATTCAGTATGATGAGCACAATGAAATCGAAGATCAGCTTGGGCACATGATTGAAGTGCAAGGCGCCCGGCAGCATGGTCCAGCGTTGAATGCTCTCGCCAAAGGATCCCTCATCCCAAGGATACACTGTAAGCACGTGAATCTTTAGCTAGACTATACGGATCAAAAAGAAAGCAACACCTACCCATACACCAGCTAGGCGGCAGACCCACCAGCACAATATACTGCAGCAGTATGGAGATGGCGAAGAAGGTCTGGAATATGCCCCACATTTTGGCACACTGCGAACGCTTTAGCAGCAGGATGACGACCAGCCACAGGGCATAGGCTACCGCAACAATATCCTGACGGTACGTAATGGTCGAGACAAGGGCTATCAGCGATATCTCAATGCCGAATTTATAAAAGCCAAAGTTCAACAAATACTTGGCCAGGCCAACCAAATCCTTCTCAGCATCGGCACGCGTGATATTCTGGAAGAGCAGCTTTGGCTGATTGGCGCTATTCTCGCCAATCTTGACGCGCATCTGGAGCTGGCGCAGCGATATGACCGCGTGCATGGTGACAATCACCATATAAATAATGTAGGTGCGCAGCAGACCCATTAGACCGCCCTCCAGTTTATCGGCCTTGTTGAGGCCCACCCATTCGGCATTGTTGGCGGTGCGATTGTCCGACTGTGAAGGGAGGCATACGAAAATTGAAAATTATTTCAAGCACAACAGGGATTTGGCATGTGCAGGGCACTCACGCAGGTGACGCTATATTGCGAATGATCCAAATACTCGATTTGATATATCATCTTGGACAGCACAATGATGGTAACTATGAAGCTAATCAGGCGACTGATAACCACCTGCACAGCCTTGCGAGAGGTGGCGCCTAGCACACAGAAGCCCACAAAGACAATGTGCAGGACGCATACTTCGCTGACGCTGCACACGAAGGCCGCTATATAAACGGCCTTCATGATGTGCAGCTCCAGGAAGCGCCAGAAGACGGTCTTGAAACGCTTGAATATGTACTCCGATTTGTTTTTGATCTTGCGGAACGAGATGCGCACCAAATCCCGTACCGATGTCTCAAAATCGGTGGTGGTTGCAACGCCCGTTACGCCTTCAGCTGTGGGACCAACGGAACGGCGCAAGGAACTGGCGCTGCCGCGACGCTTCAGTGGCGGTGCCTCCAAGGCACCTGTTTCTGTGCGCTTCTGTTGTGCGGCGGCGGCGGCGTTGCCTTGTGCCCCGCCAGACGTAGGCTGCTGCTGCAGGGAGGCAATGAAGCGCTTGTGGAAGTAATGCACCTGTATCACAGTCAATATGACAATAATCGTGGGCGATACCAAGTGCAGGAACAGATCCTTAGTCTTGTATAGCTTCAGGCCAATATCAGCTTGCCTGCAAAAAGATGAAGACTTGTTTCTAATAAAATTCGGCATTGGTTTTAGTTGAGTTTACGTACAGCGTTTGGGACACATTGAGATAGTCCTTCCAGTAGGTGTCAAACTTATCAAACTGATATGTATAGATCAATATCAATATGGACATGGCGTAAAAGATTAGGAACAGCCAAAAGCCGTACATGATCTTAACCCAGGCCTTGGACGATGATTGAAACACCAGCAAGAAGAATAGGAACAATGCCATATAGCAGATGCGAAAACCGGTCATATCCTCGCCCGTAATGGCGCACAAAAAGATGACCAACACCAGCAGCCAGATCCAGAGGCGCACCAGCAAATTCTTAATCACATCGCCAGCTTTCTTTAGGAACTTTGAGGTCTTCTTGCCATCGTTGATGAGGTAGGTGGAGCCCGCCGAGCCCACGGTTATCTGCAGCGGTGCTATAATGTCCGCCAACGTGCTATCGCGTCGTCTGTCCCGCTTCTCCTTAAAGAACTGGCGCGAAGTCACCCAGAACATTAGCACAAACGCGGTCTTCACTATCAGCGGCACACACGGACGCATTTGATTCTCAATGGGTCGCTCGAAGCCAATCTGTTGCAGATTAATGCCCGCCGTCTGGGAATATATATGGTTGAACAAAAACAAAATATTCAATATATATGCATCATAATCGTTTGGTAGGGGAGGGAACTTACTGAGACCTTGGTCGGCAGCTCGTCGTTGTTCAGATCCATGCCATAGATATATTGGGCCACCAGCAGCAGCTCCGCATACAGCACAATAAATGGACTGGAACGCATCATGGCCTTGCGCTGATTGGGTATCATCCACAGCACATTCGCCCACAGCAGCAGCACAAAGGTCAGCCAGCTGTGGTAGACTATGGACCAGGCCTACAAGAGGATACAATATAAAATATAACTTAAATCTTTTCTTTGTTTTATATTTAATAAATGCATATACATAACAGTATGAATAATAATCTATTGACTCGATAATATGTGGCAAAATTATATTTAATAAAATATGCAAAGATATCTTTTCGAAAAAATAGATTAAAAACATTTTTAATTCGAAAATGTCTAAGAAACCAATTTGTTTATCTTTATTCAACATTCTACTTTAAATATTTAACCACTTTAAATAATAAATTGTGTTTTATATTTTATTAAATTATTTACCATAATTTTCATTAGGAGTTCGATTTAAGCACAACAAACTTTTAATTTATTTTTTTATGCTTAAACAAAAGCAATATTTTAAATATATATAAAAAACATTGCGTTTTAATAATTTTTTATAATTAGTTTATACTTAGTAAATTGTTCGTACTCTTAACTAACTTTTGCCCTAGCTATATTCTACTCTTCACTCGTAGGGAACATTTTTTAATCAAATAAAATGTAACCTTTCTCTTCACTGACATACATAAATAACTATACATATATATGACAAGGTAGTGACATATTTTTATATGGAAATCTACAAGACTTACCATCATCAGAATATTGGTGAATATATAGCTATTCTGATAGATGAAGCCGCCGACGCTGACAAAACCGTATGAGATTTGATCGAGTATGGAGGTGGTATTATTTTCATGCTCGGAACGTCTCTCCAGCGAGTCCAGCTGTATATCATTGCCGCGAGAGCCACTGGACGCTGTCGGAACCACACCGCCGGACTCCAGTGCCTGGGGCGAGCGCGCCTTGCGTGTGCTCTGGCGCACCAGCTGAGAGAAATGTCAGAGATTAAAGAGATGTTTAACTAACAAGACGATGCCAGAGATATATAGATAACATATAGACAGAGAGAAGGAAGAGTCAGCTACGTAGTTTATGGCAGGCTGCAAGTGTTAATGTACTAACTAAAACTAGGTGAGTATATTAATTAGTTTAGCTATATACACACGACCCAAAGCACACACATACACACACACACACACACACACACGCTCACGTCTGATATGTAGGAGTTAAATGTTGTTAGCGTTACGCAACTATGAGTTAAGGTTATGATAAATACAACTGAAGCATTTGACAATTAGTATCAATGTTAGACAAATACAATTAACAATTACAATTGAACAAATATGGTTTTAGACTAGTTAGATACAATTAGATAGTTAAGATAGACAGCAGCTAGGTATTTATGTAGATAGAGATGGTTTCATTTAAGAGTTAACTAGGCTAGGGTTAGTTATATTTTTGGGAATTGGGAGGTTTCTTAGTGGCGAATAGTGGAGTTAGTTTACGTACAGGCGTCGTCTCAGTCGGTTCATTTAACGTTGCACGCTGTTCACGGCGCAAAGAAACCTAAAGCAGAAGAGGTAATAAAAGTGAGAGCGTAAACAAAAATCAACGAAAAGAAAACAAACAACGTAAAAGGAAAAAAAAGAAAGCAAAACAAAAAGAGAAGAGAAGACCACAAAGCACATCGAAAATAGAAAGAAGATAACTTATCAAATAGCTGCTTCAAAATTAGCCAAAGGATACTCAAGAAAATCGGGCGAAAGTCGCTTAACCCAATTCGGAAAGATTAATTGTTAATATTATGCACAGGACATGTTTTATAAATGCCTTCGATTCTTAAAGTTAAGTTTTTAATACACAGTTTTTAAATTAGTCTATGGTTAATTAGGTGCGCCGGATTCCGAAAACTCTTTCATTTCTTGGGTTGCTTTTTATCAAAATGAATGTAGTTTTTTTTTTATTTTACTATGCTAAACAATTGTATTCTTTAGGTTTATTATTATAAATTTGTTTATTTTATTTTTTATAAATATTATTATTGATTTTGTTTTATTTAATGAACAGCAAACCCAATATTTTTAATACTCTTCGAAATTCAAATATAATTTCGATAATTTAAGAATTTTTTAGTTCAATTTTTAAATAATTTAGCAATCATACAAATTAAAAAAAAAATAATTAAATTTTATCAATAATAAAACTCATTCTTAATAGGCGCACTTGGAGTCGAGTTCAAAATAATGTTTCCGAATATTCCCTATTATATTGTCCGAAAATTATGAACCATAGAAATTAAAATATCCTAAAAAATAGCATTCGATTTTTAATACATTGGTTTAAAAATCTTAAACGGCGTTGATTAAAACTAATGCATTAAAAACTCTAATGCTTATTTCTGTTTAATTTATATTTCCCATTAAGAAATATCGATAAGTTTAAGAACTCATATAAAATAAAATTAGCAATTTATTGTTATTATTATTATAAGACATGTTTAAAACTCTCTACTCAATGCGCCCTTTGAAAAGATTTGAAAAAAAAAATATAAAATTTAGAATTAAACTAAAATCTTTTATTCTATTTAAACCTATTAACTCGTTTTCAAGCATTTACTTTTTAAGTAAGTTACGAATAGCTAAAAGCAAACACTGCTTATTTATTGCTCGGAATCCTGGACAGGTCCTAAGTTAGTTAGATTTCCCAAAGTTTCTAATTAGTTTCCGAAAGTTGCAATATATCTGGGTTAAGTTACAACCGCACACACACACACTCACACACACACACGCTGCATCTGAACTGAATTGATTTAGAGCTTATCGATATATATATATATATGGAAAGATATATATATATATATATATTTAAGGAACAGCTGTGACTGCTGCATACGCATCCGCACACGCACCACCTATTCCTATCAACTCTTTTGCCTCACATACACACAGATAAACAGGCAGGCACACCCACACCACACTCGCTTACACTCAAACGCTGTGGGCGACTTGTTGTGGCGCCTCCGCTGCCGGCACTGGAGCTATCCTTGCGACTGCTGCCGGAGACGCCGCCGCGTGTTGCCTGCGACGTGAGCAACGAAAGCTGACGGTTGATTTTGTTGCTGGTGTTGTTGCTGCCGCTGCTATTGCACTCGAGCTGCTGCCCAAAGGCGGTGGCAGGCTTCGGCTCCAGCTGATTGTAAGTTATTGTTGTTGTTGTTGTCGGTGACAGGTGGCAGTTGCAAGTTGGCAGGTAAAATGGCAGGCAAACGTGGCAAGCGGCAGCACGGCGCAATGTATTTTATTGGGTTAGTGACGAGTCATTATTGTTGTTGTTGTTGTTGTCGTTGTTGTTGTTTTTGTGGCATGTTGTTGTGTTCGTGCATGCGTGTGCGTAAAAGTTGAAAGTTTGAATATTGTGTTAGGTTATTAATTCGAGAAAAGCACCAAAAATTGTCCAATGCATTGAGAGCAGCAGTAGAAGAGCAGCAGAAAAATCAGATAGAGAGTTGTTCAATAACCAATGTTAGTTCGAAAAATAGTTGTTTAATAAAAATAATAAGAAAGAAAGTAATCCTCGATGTGCCATTAAATATATACCCATGCAGATAATTCGAAAATTTTATCGTTTTCTTCTATATTTCATAAAATAACTAAAGCTTTGCCCATTTTTTCCATCTGTTTGTCTTGATTAACTGATTCATCATCAAATTCCACTCTTAAGCGTGAAAAATTGGCAGAAAACGATTGATATCGATCATCCGATCGACTTAAAACTCATTTTCAAAGATCTCTGTGAAAATTCATTTTAGAAACTACGCTTCTTAGATGAAAAATGTGCCTCAAAAATTGTTTGAGTGAAAAATGAATTTTAGGCTTTTCGATCTTGATTGTTCAAGAATAAATGTCTTTTTCATCGATGTCCATATTGGTAAGATAGATTAAGAGGATACCCTCTTGTAAAGAAAACAGACAGACATACAGACGAACAGATAAGGAATATACCTTACAAAATTGAATATGAAACCAGGGTACCCTCGGCAAGGGTATTAGAAAACATGCATTTACCCAGAAAAACTAAGCCCACTAAGACACTTACCCGCGGCTTGATGAGATGCTTTGTGGTCAGCGCCAGCGCAAAGTAGGCAAAGAACAAGGCGAACGGATTGAGATACGAGTCCAGGGAGAGTTTATTATTGTACAGCAGGATGCGTATATCCGGCACGCATTCGGACTCAATGAGCGGCTCCAGGCCAATCAAACTGTCGTGCGAAATAAAGGTGGTTTTAGTGAAACATCTCGAAGGGTTGTTGCCGGACTGTGCTCTTACCGTGCCGTCAGGCTGGTATTATTGAGATGGCTCTGCATCCAGGGCGTCTGATAGGAAACAATGCACAGCGAATGCAGCACAAGGACGACCATCACGCAGCGCAGCAGCAAAGCAAAGCCACTAAAAAGAAAACAATAAGAAGAGCAAAACAAACGATAAAGTATTAGAGTGAGGTGTGTAGAGGATGCAATTGATTTGATTGCATCTGGGTAGAGGGACACGCACCGTTGCAGCGTCTGGCAGGTTGCCCAGTAGGTGCCCGCCAGCAGGAAAATGAGAAAATAAAAGCCACCCGGCACAGATGGACGCAGTGCGGCCGCAAAAAACAATGTGGCCAGGCAGAAAAGAGGTGCTGCAAAAAAAAAAAGAGTATATGAGTATACATTAGTAACCATGTGAGAAGCAGTCCAGGATTTGGTCCGCTGCAGTACTTTTGTGGCATTAGCTAGCTTCAGTTAGTTTTGCACAGCTTACACTAATCTAGCATTAGAACTGCTGCCATAGAGCTTTTCAAATAAATAACATTTGTTACTAAAATTAAAAATTGTCCAGGTTTAAATATTGCACGTTAAAAACTGTATCTATAAACTAAAGATGTATTTGTTTTAACATTAACAGCGTCACAATTACAGCATCCAGTCGCTTCTAGGCTATTAAATGCAGCCGCTTTCAATCGTATTGAAACAAAATTAACATATGTTGCATTTGCTCAGCAACATTTTAACTCAAGCTTAGCTAATATAGTATATTACAAAATAACTATATTTAACAGACTGAGTCTAACATCGCCTTAACAGACTGAGTCTAACATTGCGTTAACATTAACGGCACTTACATATCTTGATCAATCCCTCAAAGTGTATGTGCTGGCTGATCATGGAGACGCGTTTACGCAGCTGCTGCTGCTGTTGTTGCAGCGGCGTGGTGGCAGTCGCCTGTTGCACATCGGCGCCGTTGGCATCGTTGGCAACGCTGCCCGCCTGCTGGTTAACAGCATGCTCCGACTGCGATTCTGGCAGTTCGCCATTCTCCAGCTGCTCGGCGCTCAGCGTTTGTGCGGCCAAGCGCTTCACGCTGAGATACGAGGCCAGCGCCGTGGTAAAGACCAAAACCTCCGGTGCCAGCCACTCAACGATGGCTGTGGGCCTGATTAAAAAAAAAGACAGGTTAACATGGCTGTATCTCAGGGCATGTCCATATGGTTAGGTTAACTCACTGCAAGTTCACAAAACTCATGAAGCCAATGTGACGCAGCAGTCGCTCGCTGAAGGAGCAATCGTAGATGGGCAACGAGACGCTGACAGCTGCCACCTGAAGCGCAATGTGACCCAGCAGCACAAAGGCGCTCAATGCCACCAGGATGATAAAGAAGGCGGTGACAGAACCCTTGAAGTTGCGGCGCGTTGCGAGTGGTATGAATGGCGACATGAAGAACATTAACATGTACACAAACGATATGCCCACCGGCCGCATCAGCGAAGCTGTAAAGAGGAATTGAGAAAATAGTTATATTCGCTTTGCCGAAGAATATAGAAAAGTTAAGTAACTATAGGAAAGTTTAATTGAAATATCTTGGAAAAGATAAGTTAAATAGGAGCTACAATCAATTATCTCTATGATTATCAATTATCTCTCTTCTTACGATTTTGCACAGATGTATTTAGAAAAATTTAAATAAAATAGAGAAATAAATTTACACACAGACAGACGGACATGACTTTATAGACTTGACTGTTAATACTGATCTGAGATAGGTATATTTAATGGTTACTCCCACGAATACACCCTGAAAGGCAACAAAAGTGATTAGTTTAAAGTATTTTATGCACTTACCCAACACGAGCACGGCCGGCACAACGACGCGCTGGAGCACAAGGCAGGCATAGCTGAAGGCCATTTTGATGGGAATGGGGATGCGGCAGTGCGGCAACCAATGGACGTTGTCGTTGCGCGACTCCTGTTCACGTTGCGGCTGATCCTGTGCCCCTTGGCCGACTCATTCATAAAACTTGCAGGCGCAACGGCAATTGCAATTTCTGACGACCACCGCTGTGTGAGGAGGACGCAGCGCAGCGCAGCTGGAAACGCGCAAGCGGGAAGGTGGGAAAAATAAATTAGAAATTATATTAGATAAGCGACAGCTGGGGCGACGCGGGGCTGCCACGCTGTTGCACAACCAGTCGCACAACAGGGGCGGCAACTGTCAGAACATGTCCTGCCCTAATGGCAACTGGCAAGAGGAAGCGCAGAAAGTGCAGCCAAGCAAGTGACTGCTCCCTGTTGCGCCTGCTGCTTGCCTGGCAGCCACTCTCGGCCCGGCTGTCAACCAAGCCATACCCCTAACTCCATACCACAAACACAAACACAAACACACACACACACACCCTCTCCCTCTCTTCAAGACTTAAGTAGTTGGCAGCAACTGTTTAATCTTTGGGCTTAGAAACATTAACTTGGTTTTAATTACAACTAAAAAACAACAATAAACAAACTGTTTTGGCAGTCGAGAGTTGGGCGCGTCCGCTGCGATAAGCACACACACACACACACACATGTACATTTTGTGGGCGTGTCTCTGCCCACAAAGACAGTAGTCAGTGGCATGCCATTTCCACTTGGGTTGGGTTAGTTTCAATTTTCCTTTTCCGCTTGGCTTTTATGTGTCGCCGCCTTGCGGGGATTGGGGATTGGCCGCTTTTAAAGGGGGGTGCCATTATTAGTCGCACAATTGTGCGCCATTTCAGAGGACATGGCTTACACATGCACACACACACACACACACACACAGGATCTACACGTCTGTCCTTAAGCGAAACGTGTAATTGACATTCAATGTGCGACATTATGTGGCATTTATTTGCATGCGCTTACGATAATGTCAAGCAAAATTGGCGACTTCCAAGGAAATCGAACAAATGAGAAGCTCATCAAGTGGGCTAGGAAATGTTTTCATAATGCCAATAGACAAAGACTATGATTACGGAATGATAAATGAGCTTTTAACTGAGCTAAAGTCAAACAAAAAATGGTTTGAAATTCCAGTATCTATAATGGTATAAAAATAAAGTTAGTTTTATTCGAAACTATTTAAATTGCGAGCCTCTGTTAGATACGATTTTTTAAATACATCAAATAGTAAAACTAACATCATGCTTTGAAGAAAAAATCATGTTCGTGACGTCATTTTGCGGGGAATTTAAAAATGAGTAGACCTCAATTAACTTCAGCATTAACAAACAAAAAATCTATGAGCAATGCGAACAATAATGAATAATTTTACCTTCACCAGAACAACAATGAAAATTTAAAACAAAAATATAAGGTAATTAAGCATGTGCGAAACATTTTAATTTTTCATTTATGAAAAAAAAAAACCAACAACAAAAAAGCTTCTCAAAATCGTATATGTGTGCATATGAATGTGTGCGCGTATGTGCCTTACATGCCTACGCCGCTGCCGACGTCAATGTCGACGCTTCCCATTCAAACACATCAACATAATATATGAGCTAATAAGAGAGCAAAAAATTTGAGTACACACAAACACAAAGACATACACACCCGACACAGTGAGAGCGGAAGAGATAAAGAGAGACCGGCAAAGCTCAAGTGTTGCCGCTACCGCCACCCGCGCCTATTTAGATAAACAGACAAAGGCTAGACGAAAAAAGTAGGCTATAAAAATAGTAGTAGGCACATGAAAACGTAGTTTAGCAGTAGATGGCCGTCCAAGCAGATGCCTAATGGCACAATAATGTGAACGAGGGTGCGCCAGATAGGGCTACTTAATGCACACTGGCAGCCATAAGTAAGTGTATACAAATGGGCATTACCCAACGAGCAAGTAACTTGAGGCACTCAGACAAAATACTAGCCATAATAGTGCCATTCAAGTAAACATGAGTAAACTTTTGAAATAACAGTATGAATGGCAAATAGGTATGCTCTGATGATTGTGGCTGGAAATTCAACACCTGTTGATTGTAAACATCCTTTAACAGAGCTGTGTAAACATTATCATTCCAACAAATATTGCTTAAAATATATTTGAATTGAAATATTAGCTAAGTAAGTGAATGAACATATTTTTTTTGCTATAAAATGGGCTTATAAATAATTCTAAAATAGCAGCTGCGTCAGATATAGGCCCATTCGAGCTGCGAAAATATATAATATGTATATTATAATACTTTTATAATATGTATGTGTATTATATATATATATATGTATATATCATCCACTTTGGATACTAGCTGCCGTCTAATAAGACAAGTATAATACAAAAAATATATAACTGAGAATCGTGCTCTATATACAATAGATTGCTCGATCTTTTGAAGATCTGACTGAAATATTTCCATCACACTCAACCCAAATCTGTATATACATTTGCAGTTCTTTTATTAACTAATCCCAATAGTATTCCCTTACTCTGCGAACAGAGCATTGCTCAGTCGGGTAAGGCGTTCTTGTTTATTTTTTACTTTGCTTCGAAACAAATTGGTTTTCTAAGCCCATAGACATAAGTTTTTAGCATAGATGTATACAAGTTTTTTAAGTTATCAAAATTCGTTTGATGATCCCTGATTTATGAAATACTTAATCAAATTACTTTTCGATAAAAGATTGAACCCGAAATGTTTACATTATAAGAATGTGCGTTCCAAAAAAGTCTTGCTATAAATTAATGTTTGATAGAAGTACCAAATGGATATTATTTCTAGCTAAATGCAAATAATTTATAAAAACAAATATGTTTACTATATGAAGTTGTCAATATATCTATATATATATTTCTCAGCAAAGATTTGTTAGATCTCACAAATACTATAAAAACGTATAAAATGTTAGTTTTCTTCTGGTTAAGAATTTGTTAACATCATTAGATCATAATTTTTAACCCAAATTAATAATAAATTAGCTGTATGAGTGTGAAACCGGTTTATTGCATCATCGCAGCTGAATAATACGCTGAACATCTGAGACTTTGGCATCCACGATTGTATGGAATGGAAGCCGTAGTTGGCGCCTCTTATCGTATCGAATGGGTGTGGCTGTGGTCGAACTTCGTCTGGGGCTCTGGGGTTCGGGGGCACGTGTTGCGCATTGACACAGACATTGAATGCGGCGGGAGCCGTAATGTCGCTTGCCTTTGTAATCATAACAATGGCTCCCCAATTTCCCTCTCCCTCCCTCTACACACAACTACCTACCGACCCCGCACTCAACCCTGCCAGGGAATTGAATATGAAATGCCAAACTGATGCCAGACTTGATGCGTGCCATTTGCCAGCAATTCATTTGCTGTGCACGCATCGTATTGGCATATCAAATATATATATATATATATATGCATATATATAGATAGATAGATATGAATGTAGATTCTGTGTGGGATATTGTTTTGGCAGCTGGCAGATGCCAGCCTATAAGCTTTGAGGCTAGCAAAATGACTTTTGGCCTGTTGCTATTTCGATTTCAATTTCAATTATATTGTTTATTTATGTTGCGATTTTGCTGAGAAATACAAGTAGCCATTTGTATACCCTGTACACACTAAGAAGCAATCAAAGCGGTATGATCAGTTCGATTAGCTGCACTCAAAAGAAAGCAATCATAGTCTGAGAGGCAACAAATTTCTTGGCAATCAAATATTGTATATATACAACTTTTACAGGGTATTTCCAAGTCGTGAACTTTCGCGCAGCACATTGTTACTTGTTTGTATTCGTTTACGTTGCCTTTTGTTTCTTTGTTTTACGTTTACTTGGCACACATTTTAAATTGGACATTTCATTGGCAACATTGTGTTTGTTTGCCTCCCAACGAATGTTAATGTTCATGTTGCATTTTGCTGGCATGCAATAAATGGCAAGCATATTGTTATAGCACTTGAAATCAACATTTACATTTGTTTAGTCAAATGCCAAGCAGCTGCTGTTGGTCGCATGCGTCCCACATGTCGTATACTTGATGTGCATAGCCTCCAACTGCAATACTTGGAAAAAGTGTCCGCAAAATTTAACGCCTCGTTGGGGCAATTAGCATTTGATTTTCCAATGAAATGTGCGACAAATGCTGTGTGTGAAAAGTGGTTTATTTTTTTATTTATACTATTTAGCGAAAGAGAATATAATTGCAAAAAAAGAAACTCACAACCCAGACGTTCTCATTTGCGAGCAAACACTGTATTAATCTTTGGTGTCTTTTTATATACTTCTATTCCATAAGTTTACTCTATTCTCCCTTTCATTTTCTTTCATTTTATTGCATTAGATGTCCAAATTTGAAAAATATTTGTTATTATAGAAGTGTCTTAAAGCGTTGGATATTTGTTTACATAAAGCCAAAATTTTAGGGAAATGTTAATAAATTGATGTCTGTTACAAACAGCTGCTCAAGTTAACATAACATAATATGTTAAACGGTTCATGTTAAGCAGCTCTAAAAAAGAGACATGTTTTACTACAATTTGGTATAAATAATGAATAATAATAATTAAAAGTAAAATTATATATTTATTTACTGTATATTTTGCCTCTAGTAGACATGCCTCATTTTCATCCAGTATCGTAAAAACTCGTATTGTCTGACTAATTAAAGCTTGTTTTCTGTCTTGAAAACGCATTATCATAATGCTTAACAAATTATATATAAAAAGCTAATTTATATCCTGCCTTTATATTAACTATATAACTGTGTACTCTCTCTTTCTCTAATTCTTTCTACGTGGCTTTCCTTCTCTTTTGTTAGTTCTAACCTGTTGACATATCCATTAGTTATATTGAGTTACTTCCAACGGCTGGTTTCATGTTAATGTCAGGCCATAATCCATAGGCCAAACGTCTGGTTGACACTCATTTGACAGTTGGCTGTCATTGACACATACCTCAACTTTGGAGAACAGTGAGAAAAACTGTTGCGTGTCAGTGTCACAAGAAAATGTACGAGCAGTAAAAATAACAGTTTGGCTGACCAGCCCAATGATATATGTAGGATAAGTGCTTATGGGAGATGGGTAAGTGCGTATTTTCCGCTAAAAAAAGAAAAACTCAAATGGAAATTAGCCTTAAAATTC